TCGCCAGAGAGACAGAGAGACAGAAAACGAGAAATCACCCCCCGGGGGGATGGCCATGCCACAATCCCTTCTCCATTCTCCTCTTGGGATCATGGGAATGCATGCACACGTGCCTGGCATGAGTTTAAGCCACCGGGTCTGGGACTCGAACCACAGTCGACTACATAGGAGTCAGCGACATAGCCACTACGCTAACTGCTGGTCCCTAGCTGAAAATTGTTTAATCTTTTTTTCCCATAGGAAGGATAATCTTGCCAGGGAGAGTATTCTTGGATGAAATTGTTTTTCATTTAACACTTGACTATATTTCCCCATTCTTTTCTTGCCTGCATTGTTTCTGAAGGGAAGTCTGATGTTAGTCTGATGGGATAACCTTTGTAAGTAACTTAGCATTTTCATTTTGCCAATTTTAGTTTATTGTCTTTGTCTTTGTGGTTTGACCAATCTGGCTATGATGTGCCTTAGAGAAAATCTTCTTGGGTTGATTCTATTTGGGGTCTTATGTATTTGTTGGGTCTGGATATTTGAATGTCTCTCTACATTTGTAAAGTTTTCTTCCAGGATTTCATGGAATAAATTATCGAAGCCCTTATTAATTTCTTCCTCATGTGGGATACCAATTATCTGGATGTTTGGGCCCTTGATGGTATCTAGTATTTCTCATACAGTGTCCACATTTTTCTTGGTTCTTTTCTCATTCTTTTTTTTATATTTTTTTCTAAATCAGAGGTTTTGTCTTCTACATCCAGGATTTGATCTTCTGCATGATCTAATCTACCTTTACTACTTTTGAGAGAGGTTTTAATTTCCTGTATCACATTCTTCATCTCTAGTAATTCCATTTGATTCTTCTTTAGGGTGTCTATTTCTTCTTTCAAATCATGAAAGGATTTCCTCATCTTCTGGAGCTCCTTTTCTCTTTTTTCTTGCATCTCATTTGGTTTGGTCACTATAAATATTCTGAATTGTTTATCTGATATTTTCACAAGTTCCACTGTGTTGTCTGTGGGTAATGAAGAATTGATGTTTAACCTTGGGGGAAGAGATATTTTGTTGGTTGCTCATATTTCTTGTGCCTCTGCAATGGTTTCTAGTCATCTCATGGTCCATATGTTCCTTCTTAAATTTTTCAAGTATCCCTGAGCATTCAAAGGTGTGCAGGAATAAGCAATTGCTGATCTCTCTTCTGTTCTATCTCTTCATCCTTACCAGCAACTTGCATTGCTGTCACTGGTCCTGGGTGACCCAAAGTCCTCCCTGTTCCTAGAGAGCAGGTGCACCTGAAACTGAGCTGCTGAGGTTCAATTTAGGAACAATAAAGAGGTTGGGCGGTAGGGGTGGGCATGCTATAGAAAATGCCAAAGTCCTGAGAGTTTAATGACAAGTGGAAGAGGGGATGAGCCCTAGGTCCTAGTCATAAAGCCTTGAGCCACAGGTGGCCTGCCATATGGCAAGGGCCTTCACTGGAACAGGTGTCCAGATGGGGTATGGAGGGGCACAAGATCATCACAAAGTCTCAAGCAACAAATCTGAGAGTCCAAAGGCAAGTGTTGGAGGGGATGAGCCACAGGTCCCAGTTATAAAGCTTTACAGTCACAGGCGACCTGTTGTATGGCAAGGCCCTTTGCTAGAATGGGTGTTCGGATGGAGCAGGGAATGGCCACAAGATTGCCATAAAGTCCCAAGCAACAAACCGGAACTGTCCCAGTAGGGGGAAAGCCATCTCTCTAGGATGAGATTTGTGGATCTTCAGCTCCAGTTAGGGTTAGCTGGGTTTTCAGTGGGGACTAGAGTACAGGGGACTAACAAGCACTAGGAGGAGGAGTCAGGACAAAGATTTTGGAGTGATGGAAAAGAGGACCAAGACGAACAGGGCAGTGATGAGTGTATAATTCGTAGATCACAAAGGAAGAGACCTGGGCTTAGAGACCTTCAAGTCTCTAAGAAAAAAGTAGGGGCCACGGACCTAAAGGTGGCATGGTAGTTAAAGGTGCTGGATTCCCTCATGGCTGACCATGGTTCACGTTCCAAACCTGGTGACTTGCTTTCTCATTTTCTCTCTCTCTCCTCTCTATCTCTCTCTCCTCTCTCTCTCTCTCTCCCCCTCTTTCTCTCTCTCTCATCACCTACTCTCTCTGGTCAAATTAAAATAAATTAATTAAATAAATTTAAATGTTTAAAAAATTATTTTTTAAATTTTTATTTATTTTCTTTTTTATATAGATTTTTAATTTCAAGTTCTTTTATACATTCAATCATGTTATTTAGCTTGCAAAGTGAATATTACAACATGTGTACATTTCTCCCCAGTCCAGTTGATAATACCATAAAGCTATCTTCAACAGATAATACCCCATTAATGCTATGCCTATGTTTTTCCTTAATGTCCTTCCTCAGACTCTACTCCTTCACCCACCCTCTTCCCACCCTATATCTGGTATTCACAACCATTTACTGTGTTTCTATACCCTTCAGTCATTCTTTTGGTCATAGAGTGCAGACACTCAGTACATATTAAGTGGAGACATACGATGTCTCTCCTTCATAGCCTGGCTTGCTTCACTCAGCAGTAAATCTTCCATATTCATCCACTTTTTGTCAAAAGCCAGGGTCTTGTTGTTTTTTTATGGTTGAGTAGTATTCCATAGAGTATATATGCCACAGTTTTTCAACCCATTCATCTGTTCATGGGCATTTGGGTTGGTTCCATGTCTTAGCAATTGTGAATAATGCCACAATAAATATCGATGTGCAAGCACTTTTCCAATTAAGAATTCTTCTGTCTTTTGTGTAGATACCAAGGAGTAGGATTGCTGGATCTTATGGTAATTCTATTTGTAGATTTTTGAGGAATCTCCAAATTATTCTCCAGAGTGGCTGGACCAATTTACATTCCCACCATCAGTGTAAGAGAGTTCCCCCAAAAAAAGCAGTAGGTGCTCTAGTGACTTAGGCAGCTCAATCCCACATGGGCAACTGCGGTTTGAATACCTAGCTCCGGGGCTTTAAAAATATGCCAGGCATGTGTGCATGCACATCCAGAATCCTAAGATGAGAATGGAGGATAAGAGATTGTGGCATGGCTCCCCCCAAAAGGGGGTAGACTTTTTCTGTCTCTCTCTCTCTCTCTCTCTGGAGAATGCGTGTACCTTATGGCAAATTTAAAAGAAAAGATAAAGAATGGAAAGGGGGCTGTAAAATTAGTCCCTATTCTCACATACAGTTGTGTTTCTCAGATGGCAAAGATTGGTCAAAAGGCTAGGGCAGAGTCTCATGTTTGGCGGTTGGAGAGTGGTTCTGATGCAGGAATTGGAAAATGGAAAGAAGTCAGTGCCCAGTCTATTTCTTTATACGACCTGGGCTAAAAAGTACTTAAGGGGGTCACTTCTGCAACTCATACAAAAGACACAGATCCCTGTTGCAGATATAGAGACTCAGGGTTGGTTTTCTGTTTTTGTTTTTTATTTTTATTTTGTTTTTGTTCTGATTCCACTTTCTCCATTTTTTCTAATTTTAGGATTTCAGAACCACAGCAGAGACTTTCTGCTTTTTAGAAATGCCTCTTGCATAAAAGGCATGGAGGACTTCCATTGCGTTGTCATCAAAGTTTTGAGCGTTAGGCCTCTCAGTCATTTGAGCTAAAAAGTGAAGGTAGCAAGGTCTACTGGACAAGAACATGGCCCAACCCTACCCATATATGGCATGAGATGAGCGGGTGACATTGTCTTAAAAACTACTCACTTCTGTATTCCAGTTATCAGTCCCTTATCTGAAGCAGAGTTTACAAAAATATTCTCCCATCCTGAGGGTTGTCAATTTACACTATTTACTGTGACATTTGCTGTACAGTAATTTCTTAATCTGATATAATTCCATATGTCTATTCTTGGGATTATTGCCTAGGTAAATTCACTGTGTAAACTGTAGTGATGTATACTGATCAAATGAAAGAAGTTTTTTTAAATAAAACAAACAAAAGTATGATGCTCACTTTAAACTGATATATGAGTAAATCCAACACAATCTTAATAAAGCTACCTAGAATTGCCTGTGTGGAATGAGGGCTATTGGACCAGAGTCAAACAAATATTTGGGGGGAACTTCACAAGCAGATTACAGTTATGTGGAAATGCAAAGAGCCAAATGTGTCCTATATTTTATCCAGTTTTCTAGTCATTCGTGGCAGGAGGGCAATCCCAGGCATAGTTATTTCACCTGGACCACAAGTAAAAATCTGGATTTACTTTTACCTAGTATTTTACTGCCTCACTCTCCTATCCAAACACTCAATAATTCTATATGATGTAGAACTGGTCTTATACTACATAAGGTGAACTCTTTGTAATTTTAATTGATAGTATTATGTTATCAACCTTAATCTTTTCTATTATTTTTCATCAACATTATTTCCAAAGGTGTGTCTATGTTCCTGCAGTACATCTAGTTTGTCATTCTACATACTAGATAGGTTTTTACCAGCATAAAATGTATATCTCTTATTTATTCCGATCTATTCTTCTTTTTAGAATTTTCTTTCACTCCTCTCTTGGTTAATTCTGATATAATGAGCTTTGGTAATGTGCATGGTATCTTATTTTGTATTATATTTTCTGGTTAGTTTCCCTGTTAACTGGGTGTCTGCATCTTATCCTAACTGAGAATGAACCCAGAGACTTTGAGAGAAATCGGCATCTGGGTAAGAGGAAGAGAGCTAGGACCATCAAGTTTCTCAACTCTCCAGTTATTTCCCACCCATTGTGTCCAGGCATTGAAGATGCCCCTCTCCTACAGTAATGATAGTCTTTCTTTGCAAGCACACTGAGCCTGGAATTACCCAAGGCAAGCAGAGGCTGCCCCACAGTGTCACTAGGCTGACCTGAATTGGGCTGGGCTGGGCTGTTCCTGTCTGAGCATCTGGAAAACAAGAATGTTGACCTGACTGGGAAAGAAGATAAGCCTACAAAGATTTTGACACCTTTATGTCCTTGCCTTCAACCTAGCCCAAGTCCTGTGTGTGATGAGGGCTGCTGGACCACTGAGACCAGGCTGAAGAAAACTCCACTTGGTATGGCACAAATACAATTTCGTTATTCATCCCCAAGTTAACATTGTGGCTTCTTAGATGAATGAGAGTTCAGTTTCTTCTTATCCATCAGAAGGGAGCAAAGACTTTAGGAGATTGAGCCTTGCTCACAATGAATAAGTTATAAAGATGCTTGTCTAGTTCAGCCAGCATGTGATGAAATTTGCTTGTGCTTCTGAATGATGTACTTGCTTATGTCATGAGGTCAGCAGAAGAAAATCCCAGTACCGAGTGGTCAGAAATCCAGGCTACCAATAAACATTTACCAAACACACACCAATTGCATGCTATGGCAGGGATAGGTAATACAGGCATGGATTACATGCTTTTCTTCTTCTCAAGTACCTGAGATATGAAGAAATGAACTTGGTAAAATCACTGTGGATTTGAGGTGGAGCATGACCCAAGGAGCAATAGAACCAGAAACTATAGAGTCTAAAAAGATTCTGGGAGGAAGATGGCACATAAGGTCATACTGGGTAGGTATCCTCAGACAGACAAGTGGGAAAGAATCTTCTAGGTTAAGAGACCACAACAGTTAAAAGCAAGGATTTATAAAGAGCTTGCTGAACTCCTAAAACTGTAGAAAGGTCCAAACAGCTAACAGGCTCAACTTGCGCCTCCTTGTTCTGTTTAGGTGTTCACTAAAACCAGTGATGTCTTCCATGTCTATGCTTGACATAGTCTGGTTTTTTTTTTTACAAAAATAAGGTTTGGTTCACAAGGAATGTAGAAAAGTCAAATTCATAGAACAGGAAGTAAATGGTGTATGCCAGGGGCTGGAGAAAGGGGACATGGAGAGCTGTCGTTCTGGAGATTTTGCACACAGTATGAGTACACTTAGTACAAAACTTTATACATAAAAATGACTGGTCAGATGGTAAATTTTATATCACATGTATTTACTACAATTAAAAATGAAAATGGATTGAACTATGAAGTTACCTGTTTAATTGCATTAGGAAAGGGTTAGTGTATCTACCTTACCACATTGGTGATATTGGCACATAGTCAGAATGTATTTTTAGATATAAAAATCACATCATTTGTTTTCTTCATTGTTTTTGGTTTTTTGTTGGTTGATTTATGAGACACAGGGGTGTTTTTTGCCCCTAAATATTGGCTTGGAAATGGGAGAGATGTCTGACACCTTCTGAAATCATTTTAGGAATTGATTGGCCAAGACGAGGTTCAGTCCTGAGTCCATTACATCCTTTGCCTGCTGCTTGAAGGTGAGCCCTTTCCTCAGATATCCATGGGTGGTTCTCACCACCGGGCTGGGTCCTGAAAAGCATAAAGCCTAGGACTAGGGGAGCCTATACGAGGAGTCCAGATATCAAGATCTAAACTAGCAGAGCCAAGGCTATGGCAGGATACCAGCAGGAAGAGGTACCAGATACTGCAGGAACTGTACCTCAGAGAGCTACAGAACCAGAAACTCTACAAGCAAGAACATGCAAATTCCTTTACACAAGGAAAGGGTAGGAATAGAAGATGGGTGGAGAAAAGAGAGAGCACCAGAAAAGGAAGAGTACAGGGAGCTGCAGGGTCGGGGTGTGTGTCAGAGCTAAGGACAAGACACCTTCTCTGACACCTGCTCCTTTTTCTTAGATTTCATAAAGGAAGACTTTTGGATGACCTCGCTTCACATTGCACCAGATACACTGATTTATGAAAGTGCACCCACGTTATGATTAAAGAATGTTGTAAATAAAATTTTTGTATGTGGTTTCTTTTTAACAAGCTGAAGGCATTTTTCAGGCCTAATGCTAACACATCTTGGGAGAGCTGAGGAACAGCAGGCTCTAGCTGAACGTGCCCCCCCTGGCAAATCAGTCAGACTCCACTCTGCACTCATGCTTAGGCATCATCTCCCCAAAATGGGCCTCAATGGGAGTTCCAAATCCAGGAATCCCCAGATTCGCTAGACTTCCTTTCCCAGAGATCACATGGGTTCTCAGGTCCATTGGTTTGTAGGCTTTCTCTGCACACTCTTCCCCACCCTCTACTCTTCCAGAAAACCGTGTGTCAGCCCACACTCTGCAGTCACTCACTCTTTCAGTTTGGAGACGTAGAGATATCCCCTACACCTCTTTCCCCCTCACCCACATGCTTACATTGTCACAAGTTCTTTTACTCCTTAACATGTCTCCCACCTGACAACTTCATGTTCCTACTACAGCGACAGACAACCTCATTTAAGAGGAGACATCTCCACTCTCCTCACTTAGTTCTACCCTCTACACTGCACCAAATCTGTCCCTCTCTGCATGGGCACTCCCAAATCCTCAGCAGGGCCTTACTCCTTGCCCCCCTGAATTGACCTTTCCCTCCAGCTTGCTCCCTGAGTAACTAGATTCTCCGTAATGAATCCACTTGCTGCTTGCCGCTCAAAAGCCAACACTCAAGAGGCAAATGCTAGTGAAAAAGAAATTTTTCTTAATCAGGAAGCTGGCAGCCTGGGAAAACAGCAAACCAATGTCCCCAAACCATCTCTGAAGTCCATGTTATCTCTGGATTATTTTGTCGTTTTGCTTTTTAATTTTAATTTTTTTCTTTTTAAATATTTATTGTAATTTATCATTTATACATAATCATTACACATTTTTGTTGGATACAGAATCATCTTTAGAAGCAGGTATACAGTGTGCAATAAACAAATCGAGGATATAACCATATTCACCACCTTCAACATTTAACGTTATGTTGTAAACATTTGAAACCACGCCAATAGTTATTCTGCAGGTATATACTGAGTGGTCTATGACATTCTTTACTGTGACATGTAATTCTAAAGAAAACTTATTGATTAAAACTCAGGCAGCAATCAATCCCATAAATTAAGCAAGATAATCTTAACATTAACAATGAAAGAAGGACTTATCATTTCCATGTAGAGGATTATGAGAGATAAGAGTTTATAATCTGAAAAAAAAAAACCTGCGGGTATCAATCATTGTTTCATTTCAGACAGGTGAAATTATATATATAAAACAACAGCCCATTAGGAAGAGACAGAAAAAGAATATTGTTGTTGTAGCTGAAAGTTGAGGGTTTTTTATTTACTTACATTTTTTGTTTCATTTTCTTTTACACATTCAACCACATTATTTAACTTGCAAGGTGAATATTTCGACATGTGAATATTTCTCCCTTGTCCAGATCAAAACAATAATGAGATATCACCTAACCCCAGTCAGAATGACTAAGATCAAAGAAAAAAAAATGATAAGTGTTGGTGGCGGTGTGGTGAAAGGGGAATTCTTCTACACTGTTGGTGGGAATGTAGATTGGTCCAGCCACTCTGGAGAACAATTTGGAGATTCCTCAAAAATCTACAAATAGAACTACCATATGACCCAGCAATCCTACTCCTTGGTATCTACCCAAAGGACAGAAGAATTCTTCATCAGAAAAGTGCTTGCACATCGATGTTTATTGGATTAAAAAACTGTGGCACATATACTCTATGGAATACTATTCAGCCATTAAAAAAAAAAAAAAGAAAAAAGAAACCCTGGCTTTTGACAGAAAGTGGAAGAATATGGAAGATTTGCTGCTGAGTGAAGAAAAAGAATATTTTATTCATTCCTAACTGCTCCCAGATTGATGGAGGTTGCACTTACACACCAACAAAGGCTGGAGAGTCCCTCCTCTGCCACAGCAGGCTGGGTCAGGGTCCCTACTGTTGAGCTCAAACTGAGTGCCCTGGGTTTGGCCTGCCTGTTGGTTCTGGGTGAGTGAGGGGCAGAATGGTGCCAGCACACATGGGGCAGCAGCTCCTACCTTCTATCTCTAGGAAGTATATTTTTGCATCATACTGCCTAAGCAACTTTCTATAGATTGCAGAAATGGCCTCTGTCATATTTTATCTGTGACTCCTGCCACAAACTACTCTCTGAGTTCCCTAGTTACTTTGATATTAAGGACCCAGTAGGTTGCTCCCATAGCAACTGAAAAGTCAGTAATTACATTCCCCACTATCAATTGTACCCCAAGTTCCTGTGGGAAAATAATTATTGTTTCTTTGAGAGCAAAGGGAGCCCCTGGAACTGTAACAAGGGTGGCATCAGTCCACGGTAGGACAGATAGACTCTGGCAGACATTTACGCTGGAGTCAGGTTACAGTAGTCTCCATGCAAGATTAAGATTTGGGCAGAATTTTCAAATAACACTTTTTGTTAACAGGCATGTCAGCATGAGAATAAACCTCCTCCATGGCCTTCCCAACTCAGCCAAGTCAGGGTTGACACGAAAAAAGCTATTTTTATTTTGAAAGATTTTCACATTTTCCCTTCTTGATCAAGATCTTTCTCTGAAAATAACATTGATCAATAGTGTTAAGTTTCAGTTGTCCCTCAGTGCCAGCACAAAACTGTCTCAATTGTGAGTCTGGCCATCCCACAATGGAGGGAAGTCATTGACAATTAGGAATCAGTGTCAAAACCACCGGACATAGCATGAAGCTCAGTCTTTTCCATGAGAAGCAATTCTTGATCTCTGGATGACAGAAACTTAAGATCATCAGAGTGAAGAATTGAATGACCATTCATTACAATAATGGTATAACTGCCAGAGAAATACAGCTATTTCTACTGCATATAGCACTGAAACAGAACACCGTAATAATGACTAACAACATCATATTAGGACTATAAAACTTTTATCATTCTTACACGATCTTAACAATATTTACATCAATATAAAAAGCCAATACAGGGGTGCCAGGCAGCTACCTGGTGGTTAAGGAGGTGGACTTCCACAGCCAATTGCAGCTCAAATACTGGACGTGGTAGCTTGAAAATCAAACCAGGTGTGAGTGCATGTGTGCCCAGAATTCCAAGAGGATTATGGAAAAAAAAAAAAAAAAAAAGCGGACCTACAGCAAGGCCATACCTTCCTGGGGAGTCATTTCTCCCTTTCCCTCTGTATCTCTGTGTTTCTCAGATGAGCACATGCACCCTGTGACAAAATAAAAATAAATAAATAAAATAAAAACTTTAAATATGAATCACTCCAGAGAACACAACTGAAAGTGCTGAGTGATAGGAGGACAGAGTGGGTCAAGAGGGAAAAAACGTACCGTGAGGGCAAGAGCACAGGAGGGAAGAGGGCACAGGAAGCACTTAAGATGTAGACAGTGGTCACAGGAAGCAGGAACGGCAGGCACACAGTTGCTACATGAGACCAAATAAACGAGAGAGTGCGGGAGCCTCCTCCGTCATCTGACCTGCAGCCAGACAGCCCAGGAATGAACAAGGAGTCTCAATACCTCATCAGGCATCAGGAGGTGCAGTCATCCTGACCTATATGAACCCCATGCTTCTGGTTCCAGTTAAGAGCCAGGCCACAAACCAAGGGCCAACAGAAACCAGAAGCTCAGCTGGAGAAAGTATACTTCTGCTCTGAAGCACTGCCTACAACATTCTTTGCAGAGGCCTGAGAGGGGTCGTGTGGCCTGCCAGGTGCGGTGCTGCAATGTGCTCCTTGACGTGTCCTGTTCCTTGGGCTAAAGTTCTAGTCCCACCTATTTTGTCACACTTTGCCTGCCTGTGACAATTCTCTCTGATATTAAGTGCCCTCTTCATTGGTAACGGACATGACATCGCCTCTGTGGTTGTCTCATTCATGCACTGACACAAAGGATAAATGAAAGAACATTGCAAAACAGAGTAAGTTTGGGAGACTGGATGGGGAAGAGAACAGTTAACAGTACCTCACTGTATGTCAGAGCCCCTATGTTAGAGCATGTGAAATATTCCCAACACTAAGTATTATAAACCATAGAGATGAGGTGTATAGTCTTTATTCTCTTAATCACTACTCATCATAACAGTGTTTGAAGAAATAGCATTGTACCACCACAACATGTAGAATCACGTAATAATTTCAAAAGAACAAAGAAAGGAAAGAGGTTAAAAAAAAAAATACAGTGGGACACTGACCCATTTCCCAATTCTTGCTTCATGCACAATCTTCAAGGTCCCAAACCCCAGACTCTGTCTTCACCCTTTGACCAATCTTTGCATATTAAAGAGCAAACCTACATGTAATCCCAAGAGCAGGGACAAATATGGCAGCACTCTTTCTACTCTTTGCTGTTTCCCACGATCACTTTAAACTAAGAAATTGAGACCATTTCCCTGGAAGGTGAGGCCAACCCACAAGACCAAAGGGCAGGGTCTGCATAGCTCATAATGGGCACTTGGACATGAGATGAGGCAGGGGGTGTGGTGACATAAATGCTGAAAAAGGTCTGGGCCCTTAGCCAGTTGCTCATTTGGACTCCTCACTGGATGAGGAACTAGTGGTGCCACTAGAGACAAGGACAAGAGAGCTACTTCGAGTTATCCTTTGCAAACCCCAGCCTCCTCCTCGTTTTCTTCCTTCCCACACTCCTCATATAACCCCTTTTCCCACCTTTCCTGCTCTTTCAGCTCTCTGACTACTCCCCAGGATAATGCCTCTTTCACTCTTCTGCCCTACGCTTCCCACCTCTGGCCAATACCAACTCCTACCACTACCCTATCTTGAGGTTCTCCATATCCAGCTCTTTCTCTGTGTTCTACAGACCAAGCCCTCTCCAGTACCCTGTCTGCTATGGTCCCATTTCTAGGACTACAACATTTTTGCCCCAACTCCTCCTCCTAGCCCTAGCTAGTACCCTGTACTCATCCCCACCAACAACC